TTTTTTTTTAAATTAAAAACTTTTTTTTTTTAGTTGTAGATAAACACAGTACCTTTATTTTATTTATTTTTATGTGTACTAAGGATTCAACCCAGTGCCTCAACACATACTAGGCAAGCGCTCTACCACTAAGCCACAACTCCAGCCCCCAAAACTTAGATTTTAATGGGATAAGATCCATTTACATTTCTCTTTCTGTGGACATTTCATATTTCTTATTTATTTTTCTATAGCTGTTGATCAGTACCTTTTCTACTTTAAGAATCTATTTATTAGGAATGTTAATCTTTATTCTTTCCTAGTTTATAATTTTTATTTTAACTTTTTTTTTCTTATACTAAAGTTTTTTTATTATTACATGGTCAAACTTATAAAAAAAATTTTTTTATTCTGAAGTTTGTAGCCTTTTTGTTTTGTGGTACTGGGAATTGAACCCAGGCTTGTACATGCTAAACAAGCTATATTTCTAGCTCAATGTAGCCTATATATTAAAAGACTTACATTATATAGGAAGAAATGGGGAACACATGGGGGAGGTAAGGGCAGAGATAGGCCAGTTTGAATGTGAATGTAATAGTTCAGGTTTGGTAGCTATAGAAGTGGCTCTATCTTTTGGAGAATTTGCTGATGGGTAGGATGTAGGCTATGAGAAAGAAGCAGAACAACTTGTTTTTGGCCTAACAGGATTGAATTATCCTTAACTGAGAAAGGGGAGATTGGAGGAGGGGTAGGGTTGAAGAAGATTGAGAGTTTGATTATGGACATGCAAAGTTTGAGATTCCTAGTGGACACTCAAGTGAGGTATCAAGTAGAAAGTTGCGTATGTGAGTGTGTAATTTTAGGGAGTGTTTAGGGCTAGAAATAATCATGTGAGAGTCACCAGCATGTAAAGAATGTTTACTTAGGTTTTTATTTATTTCCTCTTTTAAGGTATGTTTTACATATTGTGAAGTGTACAGATATTAAATATACATTTCAGTGACTTTTAACAAACATGTACACCTGTGTGACTAACATCCTAGTCAAGTATAGAGCAATTCTGTTGTCTCACAAGTTCCCTGGTGCCCTTTATAATCTCTATTCCCCAGAGGAATTTACACTGTTCTAATTTACACTGCCACAATTTAGTTTCCCTTTTGTATATGGTATTTAAAAACACAAGGTTGAAGAAGATCACCTTGGTTGTGGGACTTAGAGAGAAGAGATCAGGCATGGAGCCCTGGGGAATGTCAGTGATCCAGGGGGCCCAGAAAGGAATCAGCACCGGCACTGGGAGGAGTAGCCTGAGAGAGCCAGTTTGGAGTCCTGGGAAGCAAGTGAAAAAAGGGTTCAAAAAGGAGGGAGTGGGGAACAGTGTCAAATGCTGCCAAGAGGTCTTGTGAGGTGGAGAGCAAAAATTGATAGATTTAGCAACAAGGGGATCATTGGTGACCCTTCTGAAAGCTGTTGTTGAGTGGTATGGCCTGATACCTGATGGGAGTGGATTGAGTAAATGGCCTGAGAAAGATTGGATAGCAGGAATATAGACCACCATTATGAGAAAAAAATTAAAAAAAAATTTTTTTTTGTAGTTGTAAATGGACAACATGCCTTTGTTTTGTTTGTTCATTTTTATGTGATGCTGAGGATTGATCCCAGTGCCTCACGCATGCTAGGCAAGCGCTCTGCCGTCAAGCTACAGCCCTAGCCCAAAATAGGGTATTAATTGAAATTGTGGGAGTTGGGGATAGAGGAGGTTTTTTTTTTGTGGTTGTGGCCTGGCTCATGCTAGGCAAGTGCTTTACCCCTGAGCTGCACACCAGCCAGGGTTTTGTTTTTTAATGAGCAGCAGTGCTTCTAGTATTTTTGTGTCTTCATGTGACTAAACCAGTGAGAGGGAAAATTGACAATGGAAGAAAGATAGAAGAGAATTGCTGGAGTGATGTCTTTGTGTAGGCAAGTGTTCAGGGGAGGAGCTGGCTTGAGAGAGGCACAGGCAGTTCTCCTGTGGTAATAGGGGCAAAGACAGGAAGAGGCCAGGTAGGAGCAAGCAAAATTCTCCTTGGTCATTCTCAAGGGAGAAGGAGGGAGGAGTTGTTAGAGGTTGAAGAGAGCAGTCCAAGTGAATAGCCTGAGAATGGAAGAGTTGGTATAGCATCACCTTACACCTAACCTCCTGACAGTGGTTGTGTCCCTTCCCTGTTTTCTGTACCTCAGTTTCTTCATGGAGCCCTAGGTTCTGTGAAAATGAAGGTCAGAAAACCCATAGTATTTTTCCTGTCATTGTGCCGCAGTCTGGCTGGGCACAAAATCACGAGCCACTCACAGCTTTGTAGATTCAAACAGCAATTCTTTATTCCCGAACTCACACCGGCACTCTACACACGTTCTGGGGGAAATCCACGTTCTGGGCAAAATCCCAAATACTCTCTCAATCCTGAGAGAACTCAAGGAGCAGGCGCGCCTGAGGCAGCAGGATACGCCCTATTCCCAGCAGGGTACACCTCTAAACCCGGATTGTCCTAAACCTGAAGCCTAAACCCCAATCCGCCCTAAACCCGGATCCGCCCTGGTCCTTGAGCAAGGTCACCTTACATGCAATGTCACTGCAAATGACCTGGGTCATTCTTACTTAGCAGTGGCCCTCAGCACCATTGTAGATGTTTAATAAAAGGTCATTTTTTACCCTCAAATGTAGGTGTAAAATTGTTATTAGTTTTACAGGTAGAAAAGTACTTCCAATATTTAAAATATCACTTTAATCTACTTGTGATCTAAAACCTTTTCAGATATGCATTTAATATACTAATTGTGCTCATATATTCAGAATTCGGAATTGAATAGTCAAGTATCAATTTTTGGGGGGAGGTGGCGGGGGTTCAACCACTGAGCCACATCCCCAGCCCTGTTTTGTATGTTTTGTATTTTTTTGTTTTTTAGACAGAGTCTCACTGAATTGCTTAGTGCCTTGCTTTTGCTGAGGCTGTCTTTGAACTCTCAATCCTCTTGCCTCAGACTCCTGAGCTGCTGGGATTACAGGCATTCATCACCACGCTCAGCAAGATCACATTTTAAAAAAGAGTTATGGTGATCCCTCCTTGTCCACAGTTTTGCTTTCTATGGTTTCAGTTACCAGTAGTAACCTTGATCTGAAAACGTTAAATGGAAAATTCTAGAAATAATTCACGAGTTTTAAATAATTTATTACAGCCCCCTTCCTTAAACCCTAGGTCTTCTAAATTATCATTAGTTAAATGTGGTTGGTCCTAGTATGCCTAATTTATAAGTTAAACTTTATTAGAGGTATGTGTGTATAGGGAAAAACATAGTAGAGTCATATTTTTTTTAACCTTCTGAGATACATTCTGAGAAATTTGTTGTTAGATCATTTTTTCTTAGGTGAACATCATAGAATGTACTTACCTAAACTAAGATGGCTATGTTGCAAGGTGATACAATCTTATGGAACCACCATTGTGCATGTACATGCAGTCCATTGTTGACTGGAAATGTTATGTGGTACATGATTATTGATACAGGGTCTGGTACTATATGTACCTTAGTGAGTTCAGGTATCCACTGAGGGTCTTGAAATGTTTCTCTTATATAAGGTGAGGGAGAGTGTTACTGTATTTTTCTTCTGATTTGCTACTTTTATCTGCAGTGAGTCATTAGATGAATTTGCCTCAGCAGACTGTTAGAAGGATAGTTGAGTTACACTTTTAAAAAGTTCTAAATGACTGTTTCACAATTGTGTTGATTTCTCTTGGCTTACTTTGATTGTACTCAGGAATGAAATAGGGTTGAACATGCAGATTTGAAAATCTGAGATTACTTTATTGAAAAAGTTTTAAGTATCCAGGAGCCATGGCACAGGCTTATAATCTCAGCGATTCAGGAGGCTGTGGCAGAGGATCTCCCAGTCTTGACAACTTAGCAAGACCCTGTCTCAAAACAAAAAGGAATGAGGTTGTAGCTTAGTGATAGAGTGCCCTTGGGATCAATTCTTAATACTATAATACATCTATACGTATATTAATTAATTAATTGATAAAGTTTTAAGTATTGATGGTTTCTAACATGGACAAAATGTGTAAGTATAAGGACCTCTGTGTACTTACCATCTAACTACCACCTTGATCAATATTCAAATTACTTTAGAGAATTAAATGATGTTGGAGTAGATTCAGAACTGACTTGTCTTGATTCACTAATGAATAAGAGTTGAAAATTATGATTTAATAATATTTTATTCAATCATCATTCATGCAACAAAACTTATTGAGGATCTGATTTGTTCTATAGTACTTAGTTGATAAAGAGCTTCAGTTGAATGCAAATCCCAGCTCTGCTACTTACTAGCCTACAGCTCATCAAACTATTCTAATTTGTCTCCACATTGAGAAAATTGACATAATGCAAGGATCTACCTTATAGGCTTGTTATGAGGATTAAATAAGATACATTGGCTTGCACAATATGTGCTAATTACAAATGTCCTTTCTCTCTTTTCTTCATCTTTGTCATCCAGATTTTGTGCTGGGTGTCATTTTAAGAGTTAAGATGTGGATCCTGATCTTGAAGAACTAGAATTCTAAGATCACATAGCATTAGAGCCAGGAGAGATCTTCAGGATTATCTGTTTGACCAACCTGAAGAGGTTTAGTGAATTGTCTAGTATCACATTGTTTACCATTGGTGGCAAAGCCAGGACAAAGCTTTGTATCCTAGCTGTGAATGCTTTTCTTACAGGATGACTGTTCTGTTGCTTTGTTTGACTCAGCCCCCTTCCTTAAACCTTAGGCCTTCTAAATTGACAGTCCTGGTCTGCATGTTTTGAGTGTTCTGACTTTCCTGTCCAAACATGGAATATATGTGTGGCTTTCCACATACATCAGACCAGAACGTGTCCCCTGTTGTCCCCTCCTTAGGAGCCCAAGGAAGACTTTGTAGGGAAGATGGACAAGCTGTTTCTCTGTGTATAATCACAAAGATGTTTTTATCTTTCTTTTGTATCACAGCCCAGGAGTTAAAGTCACTGTTTGAAAAAAAATCCCTCAAAGAGAAGCCTCCAAGTTCTGGAAAGCAGTCCATATTATCTGTACGCCTGGAGCAGTGCCCTTTGCAGCTGAATAATCCCTTTAATGAATATTCCAAATTTGACGGCAAGGTAAGCAAAACAATGAAACTTTGTCCCTTTAAATATAGAAGTACCATTGAATGGAGTTGTTATTTTTCTAGATTTAGGGTTTCAAAAATCCCTCAATGATTATAAAATGTCACAGATTCTAAGATCATAGACATAGAAAGGTAAGAATTTGGGCTTAATGTTGATTCCACCGTAATGTATTTGGGAGGATTAAAACATAATAGCCCTGGGCTGGGGTTGTGGCTCAGTGGCAGAATGCTTGTCTGGCATGTGTGAGTACTGGATTTGATTCTCATCATTGCATATAAATAAATAAAGTTCATTGACAACTAAGAAATTAAAAAACACAAAACAAAAACATAATAGTCCTGAGATTCTTCTCTATATATCTATATAGATGTCTCAGGACTGTTTTAATCCTTCCCAGTACACACCTTCACATATACACGTACATATTTAATCTTTTATTTTTGGTATCAATGGTTTAACCAAAGGGTGATGTAGCACTGATTTACATCCTTGGCCCTTTTATTTTATTATTTAAAAAAAATTTTGAGACAGTGTCTTGCTCAGTTTTCCACACTGACCTCGAACTTGCAATCCTCCTGCCCCAGCCTCCCCAGTCACTGGAATTACAGGTGTGCACCATGCACCTGACTTACATCTTCTTTCTTTTTTTGTAATACTGGAAATTGAACTTGGAGGCGCTCTACCACTGAGCTACATCCCCAGCTTGCTTGCTTATCTATCTGTCTGTCTATCTATCTATCTATCTATCTATCTATTTTTGAGACAGGGGCTACTAAGTTTCTGAGGCTGGCTACTAAGTTTCCTGGAGTTGTATACAACTACTAAGTTGCCTGGAGTTGTGTACAATTTGTCTTTTTTAAACTTTCAATCCTCCTGGCTCAGCTTCCCAAATTGTGGGATTACAAATATGCACCACAATGCCTGGCACACACGTATATTTTAGAGAGGGAGGAATACGTGTGTGTATAAATTTGTTTTATCTCCTAAGTATTCTTGAGGTTTGGGCTAGTTGGATTGTGATTAATCAAGGTCTAATTAAGTTTGGAAGCTTGAAAGTGGTTCTGGGAGGCAATTTGCATTGTTTTGTCTGATTGTTCATTATGCAGAAATTGTTGAAGTTTTGAGCTTCCTTTCAGATTTCTAGGCTATTTCAGTATTTCACAGGGTAAGGGTTTTGTTTGGCACCTGCTTTGGAATATGACTTTATTTTTTTTCTACCTATTCATTCTATCAACTTGCTGTTAAAAAATAAAGTATGTTATTTTCCTCTTAGAAAAATGGCCACTGTAGCAGGTGGACCCTAGTTCCGTGTGCAGTGCCCTGCTCCTCACCCCATTCCCTGCTATTCTGTACCCCTGTGCTGAGCTGAGTGGGGCCTTTTTCAACAGACAGTAGCAATTGATTTTTGTATTTATTGCCATTATGTTTGCTGCCTGGCAGTGGTGTGGGGGTGCTTGAATGATAACTTGTTGCCTGGAGTTGTGTACAATTTGTCTTTTTTAAAGCACTACTGCAATTAATAAACACATTTTTGCTTATGTTTGCATTTTTCTTATTCACATGGCAGTTCTGTGGGTAGTCTAATTTGAACAGAGAGATTTTCTCTTGAAACATTTTACCTCAGATGATTCAGCCTGTTTCTATAGGTTGAAATAAGCCTGCATGGTGAAGTTGTTAGTTTGTAGAGGAGGAGCAAGAGCTAGAAACAAACATATAAATACCATAAAGATCCTTATGTGCCTAGGAGTTTCCTCCAGAAAACATCTGAAAGCACTTTTAGTAAAATGTAGATTGTATTACTGTGAAGCTTCTTTTTTGCCTGCCTGTACTTCCTGCTCCTGTCCTGTGGAATGTGGGGAGCGAAGGAACTACTCCAGGAAGAAGAATGTCAGCCTCAGGAAATGGCTAGTTGGACTGCAGAGGATTTAAAAAACATATATTATAATTCATTCATTCAGATAGGTGAGAAGTTGTTTGTTGGGATTAGGAGACACTGCTGGAATTTATTTGCTTCCATTGCCTGATACCATCTTACTATGGAAGGATGAAATTGCTAGAATGATAATGTGTGATAATGCTTTCATACCAAGAAAGTAGCGTAGACCTTTAAAAATATTACATACTAGAATTTCTCTTATGCCATTAGATTTTATTATGTTACCGAGGTTTGGGTTCATGAGAAGGTTGTTAACTTTATTTGGTATCCCATGTTCTAACTTTTGAAGTGCCAGGGAGAAATTTTTCAAAATGAAGCCATTTCCTTAGTCACAAGGAATTGTTTTTATTAGGTGTGTGTTTGCACTTAAGATTCTGCTTTTGTCATAGTTGGCCCTTTTGTAATCTACAATGGATGTAAGCACGGAGCAGTCACTGTTACACATTGATTAAAAAAGATTTATATATTGATAAGTCTATCTTATGATGTGATGGTATTTTATTATTATCCTACATATTACAATTGCTAAAATACAATTAAACCCTTGCTCTCATCTATTATTTAATATTGATGCATTTGGCAGATATGTAATGAAAGTGGCTAATGTTTGAAGGATATTATACTGTACATATTAAATTAGTCTTTCTTTATCTTTGTGAAATGCATCAATATGATATTCAGTGACATCTCAATGATTAATAGAGAATTATACTTGAGTCAAGCCTTTTTGTAACCTAGAAATTAAGATGACTATTCAAATAACACCTCAAAATGATCAAATTAGCATTTTGTGATTGCATAATAATGGGATTGTAGTAGTTATAACAGCACCATGGCTGCCTCTAGAGTTAAGATCATGTCAACCCCTTGATAATAAAGCCTTTTCTATGTGAGTCGACTTTAATAATATCCAGATTGATTCTGCTCATAAATCATCTGACGTTTAGCACTAAATTTTTGTTACTGTTGTAACTTAAAATTATTTTATTTTTATTCAGCTCATATTTAAGAAATGAAATAAGTGTCTTGTTTTAATGATTCACCATCTTGTCATTGGCACTATATGCCTTTTCCCTCAAATGTAAGGGTTTTCCATGCATTTTGATGCATATATATACATATACACATACAAATGCATCAAATTTTTTTTTTCCTACAAAGATTTGTTAAAGCCACTGAAATACGTAGAGTTTTTTTTTCCCCTACAAATATTCACAATGCTTTTCTTGGGAATAATGCTGGCCTTATTTACATAATTAACTGAGTTGCCTAGGTCTCTTGGGTAAATAGTACATAATTGGGGAGAGAAGGGAACAGGGAAGAGTTTGGGGTCTAATTAAATATGCTAAAAAACTACTTAATTATGTATTTCCTCAAGAGACTAGCTGCTGTGAAATCCTCCTTAAAACTAAGCTGTCGTTAGATTTGAAAAAAGGATTTTGCTTTTGGTATGGCTTTACAATTGCAGTTAAAGCAGCCACATCTAGTGTCCTTAACAGTTTGTGAAAACTGGATTGTTGGTTTTAATGAGTCTAAGGGTAAGCAACTTTCTCAACTTTTGTGCTAAATCAAAGCAAATATATTCAAGTAATTTTTGGTTTCTGTAGGTGGTTAATAATTTATAATTTTCTGTGTGTTAGTTAATAATTTTTAAGACATGAAATTGAAAGGGAAAAGCTGTACCGAGGCTTTTTTTTTTTTTTTTTTTTGGGGTGCTGGGGATTGAACCCAGGGCCTTGTGCATGCAAGGCACCGAGGCCTATTCTTTATTGCAGTTTTTTTTTGTTTTTGTTTTTAATTTTTTTATAACTTTTTATTTATTTTTTTTATGTGGTGCTGAGGATCGAACCCAGTGCTTTGAACGTGCGAGGCGAGCGCTCTACCACAGAGCTATCACCCAAGCCCCATACAGGGTTTTTTTGGTTAGGCTTATTATTGTGTTTCTGTTATTTCTTTGGCAAATGATGGTGTTGTCTGTGACTTATTCTAGATCCTTGGATTAAGTCTGTTTACTGAACATTTGAAAGAAGTCCAAGGCCTACTGCAAGGGATGCTTGGGTCAGATGAGGCAAAAATGAGGCCTTTAGTCATCTGCCTGTTTTCTTTGGTGCAGTTGAAAACGGGACCTCTGAATAGCAAAACAAGACCTCAAAAAACTTCCCCCACCAGTCTTTCTGATTTCACTGTATGTGGGAAATTATGGTCATGTTTGGGAGTTGCTCTGAGGATATGAGGGCACGGCTGGGTTGACAGGCAGGAAACATGCAGCACTAGCCCTAAGTGCCCCAGGATATGTGGATTGTTCCACTGTTCCTCCACCCTTTGAAGAGGTGACTCTAAGTCTTGCCCTTTCATGCCTTAGCTCTTGCTTGAGAAGCTTTTATTTTTGTGGTGCTGGGGATTGAACTCGGGGCCTTGTGCATGCGAGGTAGGCACTCTACCAACTGAGCTATATCCTCATAACCCTGCTTGAGAAACTTTTGCTAGCATAGCATTACTCTTCTGGTCAAACAGAGTTTGCAAATACTAATATCAGTATTAGATCATGAGAAGTTCAAGTACCCATTTCCTGTCAATAAATACACTTATTTAGAGGTGGTACTGTTTATAAGTTGTATTATCTCAATTTTTTTTCTTCTTCTTGATCTGTTTCTTTACCTCTGTGAAGGATGACCTCATTAGGGAGATGAGACCATCAAATAGGATAATGCTAGCATAAAGCGACTCCACAGTGAGACGCAGTATAATTTAATAGTGTAGTTAATAACGTGACTTATTCTATACGGAAGACCTTGATTTGCATCCTGAAGATGCCATTTTCAGTGAGCCTGCAGGCTAGTTACTTAATCTCATGAAGCTTAGTCTAGGGCTTAAGGCACATTACCCCAAAATATGGCACTTTGGGATATTGACTATTATAAGCTGAAGGAATTTGAGAAATGGCAGGAAGAACTATTTGACCTTCCCCTGAAGCTTTTTTCCCCTGAAGCAGGTCACCACACCTTCATGAGATGGGTGTTTGCTTGCGCCTGAGGAAGGGAGCCTCCATACCTCT